ATATATATATATAGTGTGTGTGTGTGTGTGTGTGTTTAATTTTTATTCAAATTGATTTCAGGTTGAAATATCAATTGGACCTAAAAAAATTATAAAAGTAATTAAAATATTAATATTTTACTATAAAGATCATATATATCCTTTCCAGTTATAGGCCAATTAAGATTTTAGATCAGTGTAATTATTTTCATGACAATTAAATAAATAATACAAAATAAAAAAACGAAAAATCTTATTACTACAATGGGAGAAAAATTCAAATATTTCAATTGTAAAGTACATCATGTTTCATACATCCTGATAGCATTTGTTGTACTGGCTTTAATTTATTCTGAGGTAGCTAAAACAAGCATTAGTATAAGCATTAGTACAAATTATACCTCTTCTATGGTCATATTGCACACAGCTTTGGTAGCCTCCTCTAGCTGAGCAGAGGTTCTGATGTTTATCCCTGTACTTTGCTGGAGATAACTGTGAGTGAAGAAATAAGCAGAGAAGGCCTAAAAGAAAGACAAATACATAAGATTTTTTTCTATTAAACTTGTATGTTCCACTTTGTCCATTTCTGGGCCTCTCACCATGAAGCCCCCGCTGATGTTGGGCTGGAAAACTCCATTAAAGGAACACTGAGAAAAGGGGCAGAACTGGAAGGAAAATATATTAGAAGTGTTGCCAAGGCAGCTTTGGTAGTCCCCGGTGCCTTGCACCCTGATCCAGGAATGAGGGTTGTAAGGTTTGGGTCTCTTAGACACTGTACAAGGAGAGTCAAACACTTGCTCCAGCTTGAAGACATCAGTGAAGTCAGATGGGTAGCAGGGATGGTACACTTTGCTAATATTACCCTGCGACTGAAATGAAAACATACTGGAGAAATGTAAACTGTGACAGGACATTCATCAAGAAGTCTCAAACACAAAAATAGTGTCTACATATATACAATGAGGTATTACTGATTTGTGATGCATAATTTCATACTTCAACCAGGTAGGCCAGGATCTGGCGCAGAGCCTCTTCTTTACCATAACACAGGTAACTATGCGTGTAGAGGGAATACTCCTGCCCATAGAGACGCATGGTCATGCTGTTCAACTCGTTCTCAACTGTTTCTGGGGTCTCAAAGGTGATCTGTGTGGACGCCCCACCTAAATCCAGCGCTCCGACTGTTTTTCTGCCAGAGTTAAGCCATCGGCCCACATAGCCATACTGTATAAATGAGCAAAATAAAGACAGAAATTGGCCACTATATGGCACTAGTTGAGAAACCAGTAAAAATACTGTACCATAAATCAAAACACTGGCTTAATATTTAGATGTCTATGATGATAATAAGCAACAAAGTTGAAGGATAATTAATTTATGGACAGTTTCACTGACAAGAAAAGACAAACATACTCTAACAAGAAAGCACCTTTATGAAGTTTTCAAGAAGGTAGTTGACAGTGACCCAACCGTAAACCCCTTCTTCTTGACCACTCAAAATTACAGCTCCTCGAAAGTTGAAAGGAAAGGATTTGATTTTTTGTTTGACTTCTTGAAGAATCTGAGATGCTTTGTCAGGATTGGTAATTCTGAAAAATAAAAGATGGAAAAAAATTAAAGGTATTTGGATGTTAATGAAAAAAG